TAATTTTCTGAGGAACCTCCACACTGCTTTCCAGAGCGGCTGCACCAATTTGCATTCCCACCAACAGTGCAAGAGGGTTCCCATTTCTCCACATCCTCTCCAGCATCTATAGTCTTCTGATTTGTTCATTTTGGCCACTCTGACTGGCGTGAGGTGATACCTGAGTGTGGTTTTGATTTGTATTTCTCACCAGGGTCTTTTAATAAATGAGACTTGATCCTTGAGGTACCTCAGGCCATGAGAAGCCCCATCAGTGGAGCCCTGGGCCACAGCAATGTTGAATTAATGGTGCAGGTAGATATTAGTTCTGCTGTGTCTTTCCCACCGAGACCTCAGAGGAGGCACTCTGAGGCACCCGAGGAGGGTAAATCCTTGAAATAGTTTTCAAAAAGTCAGTGTTGGCTGATGTAAACCTGTGACAATCTCAGGGTAGCGGCCTCAAACATTGTCCCATCTTATAGTGGATTGGGCCTGTCAATGTTTATACGGCCACCTCAGATTCCATCAAGCTCTCTATAAAACTTATTTTTTATTTTAGAGAGAAAGAGAGCACAATTCGGGGAGAGGGGCAGAGGTGAGGAGGAGAGAGAGAGAGAATCTTTTTTTTTTTAATTTTTTTAACATGTATTTATTTTTGAGAGACAGAGCATGAGAGGGAGACCCAGAATCCGAAGCAGGCTCCAGCCTCGAGCTGTCAGCACAGAGCTTTACACGGGGCTCAAACTCACAAACTGGGAGATCATGACCTGAGCCGAAGTCGGACACTTAACCGACTGAGCCACCCAGGCACCTGAGAGAAAGAGAGAGAGAGTGAGAGAGAGAGAGAGAGAGAGAGAGAGAGAGAGAGAGAGAATCTTAAGCAGGCTCCTCGCTCAGTACAGAGCCTGACTCAGAGCTCCATCCCATGACCCTAGAATCATGACCTGAGCCAAAGTCAAATGTCAGACACTCAACTGACTGAGCCACCCAGGCGCCCTAAAACTTATTTTTTTTTTTAAAAATATGTATTGTTCCTTCTTAGACATTTCTCAGTATTGGCTCCTGGACCAATTCTTTAGTCTTGAGTCAACCTTTGAGTGCAGTTGAAAAATAAAGGCCCATTTTCTCATAGAATGATTAGGGCTTGGGGCTGCATTTGTGAATGGAAGAATTTGAGGTTTTAGGAGTTTTATTTACATCAGAGAGATATTTTCAACTGGAATGGCTCTTGTAGATTCTATTAACATTCAAAGGCGTCTCTGTGCTTTGCTCTCAGCTCTTGGAGCTAGGCTGCCTGGCCACACCCACCAGCTTGCAGTAATAGAGTCACTTTAACTGGATCGTGTCAGGGATGGACAAGATTTTGAGGGAATTCAGTCAGAACTCAGATTTCCTAAAACCCTGCCGACACCGTCACTCATCTCAGGTGACCCCGTCTTTGTGGCAAAATCTGCAATGGCTGCTCCTGGTCTTGGAAGGTAGGAGGGAGACATACCTCTTTCTTCTCATTTTCCCTTTCTCTCTCCCTCTTCTCTCTCATTCTCTGTCTTTTCCTCCATTTTTAGAGAAAATTTATTGAGGCGTATTTTACAGTTATACCACAGAGTTCATCCATTGTGAGCACCCAGTTCGATGAGCGTTAGTAAATTTGTCCAGCTGTGGAAGCATCACCCAGGACCCAGCTTTAGAGCAGCCTCCTCACCCAGATCCTCTTGAGCCCGTGTGTAGACAGTCTCTCCTTCTGGTCCCAATCCTGCCACTCCCGGTCTATCTCTATAGTTTTGCCTTTTCTAGAAATTGTGTGTAAATAGAATCATACAGTGTTGTCTTTTATGCCTGGCTTCCTTCACTTAGCATCATGCTTTTACATGTATTAGAACTTCATTCCTGCCATCTTTTATTATTTTTTTGACTTTTGTCCCTCTCTCATACACACACAAACCTTCTCTGAGCTTTTAATTTTTTTTAATATTTATATTTGAGAGAGAGAGAGAAAGAGAGTGCGTGAGGAGGGGAGGGACAGAGAGAGAGGGAGACACAGAATCTGAAGCAGGCTCCAGGCTCTGGTCTATCAGCAC